ATAAACGTTTACAGAAAATTATATAACAACGAATACAATATTGTGCTTTTAAAATTGTATTTAGAATATAATAAAATAATTACAATAATCTTACACCAAAAGCATTTTTGTAAACGCTACACAATAATTTGTTTCAGGTCAGGCATTATACTCTATAATTAAATGTTACACTCAAAAAATTATGTACTAAAATATATTTTTAAAAAAAGGGAAAATATTTTTTATCGCGATCATGTTATGTTGAAAAATGTAAATTACTTACGCCTCGTCTATATTTTGTGCACGTAAAAAACTTATGCGTTGAGCTTTACTTTTGCTTTGGTTATAATAAATTTTATGTTTCTTTAAACTTGATTTGGTACAGTGATAATAAAGTCAATAGAGAAGCTAAATATTAGTGCGACTCAATCATTTATAATATTTGTGTTTCTTTAATTATTTTATTATGTTAATAATTATTATTATAATTAACATAAAACGCGATATAACGTGTTATATCGCGTAAACACATAAAGACAATTGATGACTTATCATATTATTTTGCATACATTTAATTACAATCCAATAACTTAAAACTTAACATTATGATTATAATCATCATATTTAATGTGTGTCACATTACCAGTTCAAAATTTAACTTGCCTGGTAGCTCCTAGCAAATAAACTTAAATAAGAGTAGAGAGTCATAAAAAATTTAGTTGTTGATGTTTACTATTATTCACAATATTAATTTTTAATTGTATTTAAATTAGCTATTTACAAGATTAGCTAGGTTACATCTAACATTGTATCCTTGTTGTAATGTAATGAAAGAATTTTCTCAGTAATATAAATATTCATGATAATATTCTTTAATAGATCATTATGGGAGATTATATTTTTAAAAAAATATTAGAACGAAATTATTTCTTCAAAAAGAATTTACACAAACTTGAAAATTATTTGAAGTAATAAAAACACATTAAAAAGTTATGTAAAATTAAAATTTATTAAAAATATAGAAAACATATTACTTGATAAATAAGAAATATTACAGATTAAATTCTCAAAAAAAAAAAATTAGTCAATTATACCATGATTTTTTAATGTTTTAGCTTCGATGCGAAGCTGAGAAGGTATTGGTATTAATATGTGTTTTTTTTTGTCTGTTATCACTTTTCTCAGCTCTCACCGAACCGATTTCTTTCAACGATACGTCAAAAAATCACAAATCGTATCTAGTCTGAAACATTATTCTCAAAAATTAAAAAAATGTCCCTCATTCCCCGTAAATGAGGGGAAATCTCAAAAAAATTACAAATTTAAAAATAGCTAATTTTCGACATTTTTTCAATTTTTTTTACTTAACACTGTCATAACTTTTTTAAAAATAACCAAATTAATATAAATTTTTTTACAGATGCATTATGTCTTTACCTTTCATTTGGTATATTTTTTTTTATAAATATGACCCTTTACCTGCCCACAGAGGAGGATAGATAATAACAACTTTAAATTTACAACAAAAAATTTACTTTTTCAAATAAACTTTTGAAAGTGTTTCGGAAGGTTTGACACTTTTATATATATATATATATATCTTAAATTAAAGCTAATGTAATATACTTTATCATAGGAAAAAAATTTCGGGCTTTATTTTGTCTTCACGGTGAAAATGGCTACCAAATGCTATTTTTGTGTGATAATTTTCGATTTTATTTTTATATTTTTAACTTTATAATGCTATAACTTATTGAAAAGTGTATGGAATAATATAATTTTTTTATGAGAAATAATATTTATACTCATCTTTCATTCTACATACTTTATCTTAATCAGGATAAATAAGGAAATGGCAGATTATGTAGCTTTTGGGATAATTCACCAATTTTTTTTAAATTGAACACTATCTAAAGATTTACATCGAAGCGTTTTTATGATAGTGATTTTAATCACTGTAAGATATCATTAAACTTGACCTCACTATGTCTCATCCCCACTGTGCCACATCCCACTGTGCTAGGTTATTTTTAAAATTTTTATGGCTTCTTATTTTTTTGGCATTTTTTATGGCTTCTTATATTTTTTTGAATTTTTATGGTTTCTCAATTTTTTGCATTTTTATGGATTCTCATTTTTTTGCATTTTTATGGGTTCTTATTTTTTTGCATTTTTATGGGTTCTTATTTTTTTTTGCATTTTTATGGGTTCTTATTTTTTTGCATTTTTATGGCTTCTTATTTTTTTGGCATTTATATGGCTTCTTTTTTTTGTTTTTGCGATTTTTAAGGCTTCTATATATTTTTTTGCATATTTAAAGCGTTTGTAAACTTTAAAATATAACATTGCATAATTGGTTATTTTTTATTTTAAGAAGATTATGACTCTAACTTTGTTTAATCATATTATCTGAAGCTAAAGAAATAAATTTGGAAGTGACAAATTTTTAATTGTAATATAATTTAGGATCAGTGGAGTATTTTAAATGATTTCTCGGGTGGTGTCCAACTTTTAATGAACCTCACAAACGAAAATTATAGAAATTTTTACTGACGTAAAAAAAACTTACTATTTTAGGAATTGACAAATAATTTGAAATTTGAAATTTTGGTACTGTTGTATCTTAAAAGAAACAACCCTAGTGTCTTAACTTAAAGTAATAAAAGTTTAATAATAACTCAAATGTATTTATTATAGATATAATTAAACAATGCAAAACATACAAAATAAATATACACTAAAAACACAATAAAACAATACACAGAATGAAAACTTAATGTCATAAACGTACCGCGCGAAAAGAGATTACCTTCGGTGCTCCTAAAGTCCTCTCTCCTCTACGATTCATTCCATTTCGTCTTATATACTAAAATATTTTGTTTTTCTTCTTTTTGCAAAATTAATAATACTATCGTTTTCAAAAATGTTTATAAATATTTAATTCCTGGTCTAGTAATAATAGATCAGGAAATTACAATTAAACAAAACATTACAAAAATGTTTTACGTCCAGTTTTACAAATGATAAACTATATAACAGTATACAGACTGATTTTTTTATCATAACCCACTCATTTACTTGTAGAATATATATAATTTAAACATTATTTTTGGTTTTCTTTAGTTACACATTATTCTTAAATTATTAACTATTTAAAACTTTTTATGTTCATCCCTTATGCCTTGTAAGGGTGTCAACTTTGTCTTTTTGTCTTTTAAATGGGAACACATATTTTGAATATAATAAAATGTTTGGATTTTTAATTAAATAGTAAATGGCATTTGAATTTTTAATATAACTTTATTAGTTTATTAGATATAAACATTTAAAGTTTCAAATTTTTGAGTTAATATACATGTATAATACACATGATGATATGATTACAAATACAGGTAGCTAAATGGTTTATATGATATCAATGTCGCAGTCACGGATTGTTTATTATCAATTATGACTATCATAGATATACTTTCTGTATTGTCAGTTAGTGTATTTATAAACTCACAACAATGTGCCTTACTACCATTGATAATAACAATGCTGTGTACCTGCTAATTTCTTTGAAGTTGTTTTAAACAAAGTAACTCATAACTAAATACTTTATTTATAATAAGTAAACAAATAATAAAATCTCCTTTCAGTATTGATGTTCGTAAATTACTTGCTTTTGATGATGTTTCAGTGTCATTCCACTTCGAAATTATAAATAACGATTCAATTAGGTACACAAAAAGCTCAAGAAAATCATTGACAGCATAAAAACGTTCAACTCATTTAGTCGCACATAATTGTTTTAATGATTTTTTAGTTATACATTTTTGACTTTCTTCGATTTGACTTTTCAAAACATCTTTTCGCTTTGGGTATATGAAAAAATCTCTAACTTTAGATGTTGTTCCTAATCAATTTCGTGTTTCTTGTATAGAAGATGAATAAGAAATAGCAAGGTTTAAAACATGAACAGCACAATGAACAAACGTCGCAAGCGGATAACTTTGGTGAATAAGAGATTGAGCTCCGTTAAATTGACCAGACATAGAAGCACATCCATCGGAACACTGTCCTCTAACGTATTTTGTTTCTACACCAAATGAATGTAAACTTTGAATAATAATATATAAACCTTTTCCAGTAGGATCTGTTGTAGGCACAAACTGAAGAATTCTTTCTTGATAATTATATTTTCAACATCTAAATATCGAACACACAAAGTTACTTGTTCGCTTCCACCAATGTCGGCCGTTTCATCAGCAAGTATTTTGAAACATCTTTGGGCATTTATGTTTGTTACGATTTTATTTAAAATAATTTTATTACAGGATTCAATTATTTCATTTTGAAGTGTTTCACTTGTATATTTTATTGTTTCTTCAGCTTCCAAAAATGATTTTAAACGGTCATCTCCTTGGGCTCTGTATCTTAATATTTCTCTAAAATTTCCTTGATTTTCTTGGATAATTTGTCATTTTCTTGATATATATTGAAGTTACAAAGATAGCCGTTATTGTCAAAAAAAAAAAAAAAATAATAATAATAACATTAAAAATGCAAATAATAATTAAACCTATAAGGTAGTTAAACCCTAAAGTTATTTTCGATTTGTTAAAGTCGTTAAAATTAATTCAAATCTCCTGTTATTTTCTTTTATCAGAATTATTATGTCATTAATTCAATTATTAATTAAATTGTTAAACTATATTATATATTCAACTTAATAAATTTTTATGTTGATTATAATCGCATGGCATGATGTTTTTTGTTAATAACTAAATGGAAATAGCAATTTCACATGGGCAAAATTTTCAATAGTTGCAAGAGAATAAATACAAACGTTGATATTTGATTTCATACAGATTAAATTTTATATGCATAAATATTCTGTTAACCGATATCAAATTTATTCCACTTGAACTTTCATAAAAAAATCTCTATCATTTGTAAACTAATGTAATAAATAAACAAACAAATACAAAAGGTTTTTCTTCAAAATATCTTTAAAATATATATATATATTTTTTTTTTTTGATAATTCTCTGTATTATTCTTAAAATATTGTATTCTTTGACCAATAATACAATTAAAATAAATAAGTATTGTTTATACTAAATTTATTTATAATTGGCTTATACATTTTTTTAATGAATTTTTACAATTAAGTTTCCTTGACAATTAGATGTAAATGTTGATTTTATCGACATTTCAGTTCACTTCGTTTTTTCCCGTGAAAAATAAACTATCGTCTTGTGTAATTATTAAGATTTATTTAATTAGTTATTGATATGGCAAGTGAAAAAAATATTTTTGGTCAAACAAATGAATCAAACTTACATAAGGTCATACGCAAAGTTGAAGAGANAATCAAACTTACATAAGGTCATACGCAGAGTTGAAGAAATATGGAATCGTCGTTTCATGCATTCCAATTGTGTTTTAAATAATACAAATAAAGGACAAATATCAAAAAAGTCAACTAAAGATGGAAGAATTATCTGTAAACACTATTAAGATTAATAATTAAACTAACTATTTCGAATAGAGAAAAAGTTTTTTAATATAAAATATAAGAAAAATTAATAATAAGTTCTCTTATTCATATATAACAATAATTCAGTCGCTTTACTTTAATTTAACTATTTTAATATTAAAAACCTTTTTCGAAATTGATTATTTAATTAATAATTATTAAAATTATATTCAATTTGCAGCAATTATTAATAAAAATATTTATCCTATAAAAAATTCCATTATTCCAAAAGAACGCACGTATCGAAAAACGAATAAAAATGATAAAATTATTCCAGAAAAATTGGTAACTATAATTATATTAATATATTTATTCGATTTAGCTATGTTATTGGGGTTTGTCTGATTCAAAAATATAAAATAAACTATCAACCCCCTTAATATAAATGCGGTAACATAATGTTTAATATTATTCTGCTATTTTTTCTATTAGATTTTTATGGGAAATTCAATTTTTATCGAAGATAATAATATAATATTAAGTATAGTTTATTTGTTTATTTAAATATCTCTTTGGTTACCTAGAATATGATGCAGCAAAGAGAATTCGGAACACTTTTTCAGAATGAAAAATCTGAAAAATATAAAAATGAAATTTTAAATTCAACAGAAAAAAAAAATATAGCAATTTCAAAAGACAATCCGCTATTAATATCAGCTGATTTGTTAGAAAAGGTATATTTTATTATGCTTTATTTCAATAAAAAGATTTTAGGGTATACCCTAAACCATTTTTTGGACTTAAAGCAGATTTCTTAAATAAATTTATCATATAATTAAATATATTTTTATGATCCGTTAAGAGTTTTCATAAGAAAAATTTGGAACGCAAAAAATCCGAAATAAAAAAACAACTTTTTGAGATATCTTCTAATACTACTGCTCGACCAAATTTAAAAAGAAATTCATCCGAAGAAGATGAAAAAGTCATAAAAAGTATACAACTTTTAAAATATAATTCATTTTTAAAAAATATGAAGTTTTGATTTTTGAAACAAATATGTAATATTTTTAAACATAAATTATTTTAGAGCCAAAAGTTAGTTCTAATCCTTTGACCTTAAATACGCCGAATGACGTAAATTTACTTGCTCTGTCCACTATTGAAGTAATAAAAGTACCAGAGAAAGAAAAAGGTAATTAGTTATTTAATCTATTTATTTTATGTAAAATTAAATAAAAAAAGACTATTTATTAAACATAATTAATTATAATAATACGAGTTAAATTAATATAACTTCTGCAGAGGCGTGTCATTAAGGGGGTCCATGGACGTTTAAAACAAAAGTAATTGTACGTGTTTAATTTCATATTCCAAAACCTTAAATAAACCTAAATAATAGTAAACTGTTCAACAAAGTCTTTTATTAATTTTATGAAAAATGTTTAAATATGGTTACACTTGCAGAAGTAATGCAAGATCAGAACACAAAATCTCTTGATCAGTATAATGCACCTTCATTTAAATCGCCCACATCATGGTATACTTCAGACACAATTAATGAGTACATTAAAATGATAGTAAAACGGTCAGAAGGTGAAGTTTATGCAGTTGTCACTGATTTTATCATAGCGTATCTCCGAGGAGGTTATCCAGCTATAAGAAGATGGATAAAAAAAGATATTCACACAATAAAATTACTTTTTGTGCCCATGAATGTATATGAGAGTCATTGGATATTGACAGTGGTTAATATACCTGAAAAGACTGTGACATCATATGATAGTCTTAAGTCGTATGAGGGTCCATATCCAATGGTATTAAAAAATTTCTTAATTGAATGGGAGATGGACAAAAAAGGAAAAGTTTCTACATGGACATTACAAATAGGTGAGACATCTCGCCAAACCAATGAACATGATTGTGGGCCATTTACTGTTGAGCTGGCAGAAAAAATGTCTCGAGGAGATACAACACCAATAAATGCAAATTTTATGCCTTTTATAAGATTAAGACACAAAAATGAAATTATTGCTGGCGAGCTATTCAATTAATATTTTTGTGAATGAAATTTTATTTTTGTATTTTATATCAATTTTCTTAATATTCACTATAAATTGAAATTTACCACCAAACATTTTTTTACTTTTTCTATGTTTAATTGTTGTTTTGTTATTTTATTTTAATCTTATTTTTCTTAGTAACATTTGATTTAAGAAATTCAAATTTAATATAAATTTATCTTAACTGAAATAATTTAATGTTCTTGTTATGTGAATATACAAATATTATAATATACAGTTATGGATACAATTAAGTTAAAAAGTCAGCCAATTATAAATTTTTAAATTAACAAGCGTATCTACTATCTTAACAACTTAATTTTAATTTTACTAAATGACGATTCATAAAGAATTTCATAACTTTTGTTTATTTTTTAAATACTATTTTAATTATAAAAAATTCTTTTCTGTATTTTTTATGAATGCGGTATATTGAATAGGGGTAACTAAACTTATTTGTTTATAATTCTCTAAACTGATAAACTATAAAATAAATTTAAAAATGAACTACAAGTTCAGAATATTTCCGTTGTTATTATATTTTTGCTACGGGTATTTTTGTTATCTAAATGACCCAATGAAATCCAAATAATTTCTAGAAATCTCTGATAAAATGTAGATAAATACGTGTCGTCGAATCCTATCAAATTATCTTCAATTTTGTTATTTATTTAAAATACCATTTATTTTATAGTAAATAAATATAGTATATTATAAAAAAAGTTAATACCAATATATTAGGCATTTTTTTTAAGTCGGGGGGTGTCCAGACATGGAGGACACCCCCCCAAAATACGCCACTGTTTAGGATCATTTTATTATGATATAAAATATAATAATAATAAGTTGAAAAGAACATTAACATGTTTGAGAATATATATTCCCGAAAAAGATTATTATGGTAATTTTACATCACTAATCATTACTTAAATATTTAAAAAAGTTATTTATAATAAATTACAGTTTTTTTGTACAAAATGAAAGATCAAATGTTACTAATAAAATCAAAGCTTTATATTAAAATATTCTGGGAAAATTTCCAGTTTGATTTTTCTCATAGAATCAGTACCATTTAATTTATCCAGTTTGTCAAAGCCATAATTATATTAATATGAAATTTCAATAATAATATTAAATCTTTTTACTTAATCACAATTAAGAACAACATAGGAACATTTTGGAAATGAAGCAAAATTAATTATTTGTTTATTTATAGAATAAAGGAAATGAAAGTCATTAGAACTTTTGTAAGCCTTTATAATTTAATGATTTATAGTTCAAATTACTCGTAAAAGGTTAATGGAAGTATTAATTATGACTTGAGTTTTGAAATATTTTTTTTAAATCTTTGAAAAATGATTTCACACTTTAAATATAAAAATATTTATATATTATTTATAAATATACACTTTTAATGAAAAAAAAATTTGAAAACTTTTTTAATTAAATTTAGTAATTAAAAACGTATTATGTTATTTTGAGTGCCATTCTTTTTTACAAATTAAAATATAATTCATATTAGTTACTCGCCAGGTTTAATTAATGTTTTTAAATACTGATATACTTTCGAGTTACTCTTGTTTTGCAATTGTGTCATTATAAAAAGTCATTAGTAACATTTAACTACTGAAGCATAAAAGACAGAGTTGTCAGTCATACGGTGATTTGGTTAATTGAGTGATGTTGCCATAGTGAGAAATGAAATGAAAGCACTGAATATTAAGGCTTGTAAGGGACTGAGAAGTGTATAATTAGTTTTAGGTAAAGAAAGCCCGTAGAGAAAACCACGAGTTTCCCGTTGAGTGTGNATATATATATATATATATATATATATATATATATATATATATATATATATATATATATATATATATATATATATATATATATATATATATATATATATATATATATATATATATATATATATATATATATATGTTCTTGATATTATAACCACAGGGGTGTGTATATGAACTGTAAAGTGTACTTATGCTACCCCTGACTGATCTAGTTTACTAAATTGAGCCGATACAATTGTAATTCAATAAAAAAAAAAACCAGAATCTACTTAGAATTAAAAAGTGTATTCTTTCACTGATTTTACAAGATAGGGTTTTAAGCCTTGTTGGTCAATAATATTCTACAAAAAATATAGGCTATTTAGATAAGTTGATGTTCAGTAAAAAATTTTGCATCCAACCGATCTAAATTTTTGCGTATACTTATCATTATAACAGGACTTTGATTACGTATGATTAAAAGTTTTAGATATGTTAATTATAAAAACGTCATCGGTGGTATTGTAGCTTTGTACTATAAATAATATTTCCATACACAGTTAGTTGTCTTAATAATTCATTTTATTTGAAATTCAAATAAACGTATCATTCATTACTAGTCAAAGACATGATGATTGTAAAAAACCTAGAGTACAATATCTATGCAATAGTATATCATATTCTTAAATGTTGATATATAACATTTATATTATTAACCACTTACAATCAATTATTACCGCTTTAAAATTTGTAACAAAATTCGTGGAATAGGATAATTCATTTTAATAATTTTATACATTAAATAAATATACTAAATAATTGGCTTCACCTTATTTATTGAGCTTATATTTTCAAATTTCAATAGACTATAATAAATTTTTGTACACTGTGTGGGTACATTTATAATAATACATATTTTAACTTAATATAACTATTTTGTAAGTACATAAAATAATACAGAAATTTAACAGGAAGCACAAAATGATAAAGGTAACATAATCACAATTAGAGATGTATTACTAGATAATAATACCTATACTATAGTAATTGTCTATGTAAATTAGGGTAAACACACATGTTTTACTAGTGGAACATAAAATAATATCGCAGTACCACAATCATAAAATATATAAACAATGTATTTCAATCAACTACAAAATTTAAAAATAATAACATTATAACAGTTTTATTCAGTATAATATAATAATACCTAACAAAATTTAGAATATACAACGGTAGTCTTGTTTACATGCACAATAACGATACGCTACCGTTTTTTACGCTATAAGGAAGTCAAATTGTATTATCATTAAAATGTGCGAATCACAATCTTATAAAGTGCTTTTTTAAAAAATGTCGGTAATGTAACGCTTGTTTAAAAGTTTTAAACATAGATATAAAATGTCTCTTTACTCTCCAAACATACTTCGGACGCGCAAGGATTCCGTGACTTAACTTAATGAAACCTAATAAAAATTATACTTTAAATACAATTATGTTTCAACATTTATCTTGAATTAAACTAATATATATATTATTAAAAATGAAAATTTTGTCATATAAATTATTTTCTCTGTTTAGTATGTTAATTTCAGTTTTTCAAATTAATATTTAAAATAATTTATTTAATATATAATAAGATTAAAAAATAATCAATAAATAAGAATACGTCTATTATCATTGGTTCCCTTGCGCCATTAAACATTTTTATGTAGGATAGAGTAAAGTAATGACAACTTCGATCCAAGCGGTTGACGTTTGGTATTACATAATTTTAATTTTAATTAATTACATTACTTAAAACATAATCAATAAAACGATTACGTAGTAATCATTAATAATTTAAAATATGAAAATTTTCTAAGGAATTGAAAAGTGCGGTACACTTAAGTGGTGTTGAATCCACACCATCACATTACTCTACCCTACTGCCTAATTAATACACACCTTTTTAAGATGTCATATCGCCTAACATAACAAATTACACAAAATAACTATGGTGATATAATTAATAACAATAATAATAATAGTCAATAATAGTGTAGTTTAGACAGAGGTTAATCGGCCTATTTGTAAATACTGTATGCGACAAACTTAATCGATTTCGAGCCCTTGAACAACATGAAAACAGAGTTGGGTTACCAATTCATGATTAATCGTGTCGTTTGAAATCGAGAAAGTTTGAGGGACCCGCTTTTCGTTCTTGACATTACTATCGTATAAAATAAAATGTATTTCGAATTGATGACAATTCGGCATACTGCAAAAGTTGTCAACGATAATTTTAGATCTGTACACGATAAAATAAAAAATTATTTCAAGTAAATTTCGATTTTATCAATTGTATTATAATTATTCTATTCATAAAACAATTATTCGAAATAAAAAAAGGGTCTTGCGTACATGAAATTGTTTGATTTACTCACAAATTGTAATACTTTTTATAGCGACCAAATGTTATGTACACGTATAAAAATATGAGTTTCAAGGTATAAAAATGACTGCGTTGAAATAGTATTTAAAATTTTATAGTGTTTCACCAACAATCCCAGTATACTTAAGTCAAATTTTAGTGAACATATACTATTTCATTTGTTCGTACCAACAATATTATATTTTGCTATTCTATTTATTATTTACAAATAAATTTAAAACAAATTTTAATTCATTTAGAAATTAACTACTTCTTATCGCTATTAACATATCATATATTATGTTATGGCTTACATAAAATAAACCTATATATTTTTAAGTACAAACTACATGTTAAGATTACATTTATTACTATTACTTATAAATATAATTATTTACATGGCATTTTTTTTGTAAAATATATTAGTACAAAACACTACAAATAGTCAACTTTATTATATTATTTTATATTTTTAAATTATTTCAGTCCTAAAAATTTAATAATAATGTACATAATTATCGTTAATATTAATCATATTAGTCTCGTTAGTGCATTTTTAATAATTTATTTAGTTTAAACAATACCTTTTTTGGCATAAATAAAATGTATTTCACAACCAATAGAATAGACTTTTAATTTTTTAAGTTGCTGATATTATTGTGTTATCATTTTTAAAGTACATGTTACGGGTAATTTTTAAATTGAAGTTTGTTTACCTGAAATTAATCTATTAAAATTAATATTAACTTTGGTTTAACAAAATATTTTTGATTTAAAGTAAATTTGTTTAGTTGAGAATTTATTAAATTTAAAAAAACAAAAATACACAATCTATTTTTAGCACAGCATCTAATGTAAAATTTTCTAACACAGAGTGGATTTGTTACTTATTGTCTTATGATATGAGAAAATATTATGGAGCAAGACAAGTCAAAGTGAGTGTAAAATTATTGTGTAATGATTTATCTTTATGAGTTTGATTCTTATGATCCACTACTGTCGATTAGGATTGATCAAAACATATTTTGCATAAGTATTCTGTTTATTACGTTAAACTGACTTTGTCTGTTTAATTTAAATTTAAATAACTAAGCTTATTCGATATAAGTTGCCGAAAACAATAAGTATCATATGTTACCCGTAACTTACATGTATTCATTTTATATAATCACATAGAAGTTATTTTTTTATTTTACAACATTTGGCATTTCTTTGTGTATCTTCTAAAAAAATATTTATTCTAATATAGACTTGTGTATGTTATCACCTAAATTTATATTGTTTTCATTTATAAAAGAATATTAAGCTATAAATATTAGGTATCTATTTAAAGTCAAAATGATTTAACAAAGTAATAATTTCCATTTAAATAAAATACTATTACATTTTTTAGCTTATTAAAAATGTTTTAATTTTTATTAAATTGGAGTTGATGAAGTAATATCACATTAAATTGGGTGAAAAAAACACAACAAATTCAAAATGAACATTTCTGAACTGTTAATTATATCATTTTTTTTTTAATTCAAAATGAAAAAGTTTTTTGTAGTGATGTTGTAGTTGGTTACATTGGGTTAGAATTGGAGGTTGGAACAACATAGTGTACTGTACATAAATAAAGTTTTCATTTTTACTTATACTTTGTTTTGAAAAAATACAAATCATTACAGTTTTATATTGAGGTGTAAGTGTACACACATAATTTTAAAATAATATGATATTGATTTAATTATTATTTATGTCTAATACCTAAAAATGAGAATTTGTAAAAACCCTGCTGATGTTAAAAACCTGTCTAAACATATATGACATGTATAATATTTTTTAGACATAAATACTATACGTTTGGGATTTATTCCTCGTTGAGCTCTCACTAAACCTAATTTATAACACAACTGAGTATCATAAAATAGTACAATAGTCGGTTTCTGCAGTATTGGTCAAAATGGTGATGAAGAATAACCGGATTTATATTATGTTTGTATTTAAAAATGAATTAGCTTAAAGTAATTTTAATCTTCCCCTAATAACACTAGGTCATCAGCTACAACATCACTGATGTGTAAATATATGATCCAGTACATAAGATTAAAACAAATGAAGCATACTGGAAACACAATTCTCGAGTATTTGTCAATATCGCTAGGAGTGAGACCATACATTTTATTTATATCTTTTTTTGGATGCATCACATGTTGCGTGGGCATAGGTGTAATGTTTTCTTCATCTCCACTGAGAGTATTCTCTAATGAACCACCTTTCATATAGTTTTTTGGATCATGTGCTTTGTATCGTATCTATTAGAAAAAATATTAATACTTAAAATACCTTAGCCTTAAAAATTATACATAGATATAAAAGTTGTGTGCATTAAGCATGATATGTATTTAAGGTACTGAATTCTTATGATTGTCAAAACAAAAATAAATAATCTCATTTGATATACTTTAAAAAATAAATATATCAGGTATAAAAAAATACTTACGGTTTGTCTAGGAGTATGATCTATATCGCCCATCATCAACGAACTTGATAATGTGTTACCACCGTGCCCCATATGACCGTGTCGATGGGTATCGTAGTGGCCATGGCCTGATATGGATCCATGACCTCCCATGAAGGACCCATGTCCACCTAAAGTACCATGACCAGACATCGTCCCATGGCCTGATATTGCCCCGTGAGAGGTTAGGGTATGACTAGAAAGGCCATGAGGTAACGTCCCATGGCCGGAAAAAGCTGCATGGCCAGACATTGTACTGTGTTCTGATATTGATCCGTGACCATGATGACGTGAATGGTGAGAATGTGGGTGGGTGTGAGAACGCGTTTCATGATAATCACTGTTTCCCCCACTACCGCCCCTATGGCTCTTCTTTTGTTCAGCTATCTTTTGTATAGCTAAAAAACGATTTTTTCTCATTTGTATCCTTTTTGCCATATAACCTACAGTGGCATACTCTAAAAAATAATAAAACTATTAATACTCACGTAAATTCAATAGTATGACATTTTAAAAACTTGAAATTATGTTTCAAGTATTATAATATAAAATTAGTTTGACTAATTCACATATGAACGGCAATAATTAAAATGTTGTGTTCAACTAACCTAATAGTGAAGCAAATACCATCACGAAACATGTGCCTAGATAAACATCGATCGACTTGACGTATGATATCTTTGGCAGGGCGGCATTGGTTGAAGACATGAGGGTTGTCATTGTCAGCACAGTGGTTACACCAAGAGATACTCGAGCTGGTGTAGCGCACCTATTTAACCAAAAACTGACCCATGATATAATGACGATGAGACCACTTGGTATATATATTTGAATAAGATAATAGCCCATTGATCTTACAAACTGAATTTCACACGCAAGTCTTGAATAATTTCCTAAAAAAATGTACTTTATGGATATTATGTATTTTAACACGTATGAAATATTTTTATTACAGAAAAACAGCTATAAAAACATATTCTATATTATTATTTAAGCGTGGACGGTGATGCCGAGTCGATAAATTGGCAGTGCTTGGTGCGTACTGTTTGGGGTTCGAAACTCGGTCACAGACGGCTTCATTTACCGAGCGAGAAATAAGTTGGGTAATTGGAGACGCCATCCCTTTCTCCGACGACGAACTAAACCACCCGTCTCGGAGTATCAATAAATAAAAAGGAACCTCCTCCTTCGGGGGAGGTCACTATGGCCATTAATGGGCATGATAAGCGAAAGAAAATGATTATTTAGGTATTTTATTTATTATAAATCTCATCATCATAGCTTTTATCTCATCTATTTGAGGTTGGCTCTGCGTTAACGCATTAACGAAATTTTACACCGGCTGTCGACCTGACGCAACCTTATTATGGCTGAGATAACCGGAATGGGGCAAAGTGTGTGTCTCTGTTGAAGTTTCCGTATGGTCATCCATCCGGGAACCAACAGAAAACAGAACAACTTACAATCTGTGCTAAGGCGGTGACTCAATAATCCACTGGGCCGCACGACGCCCCTTCATTAATTATAAGTCTAATCATAATATTTAAAACATTTTTTTGTATATTTTATTTCTCTATTAAATAAAAAAAAAAAAATTATAATATATAAACACGCAAAAATTTCATTTTCACTTACCCGTAGTCAAACTAATTTCCATAGCCCTTTGTCGATGACCCAGTACTTTGAATTGTGGCAATGACACTTCGTTGGAAACGCCTACCGAGTTTGGTCCTTTATTCCATTTATATCGGATGTCTCTCATAGTGTAACCAACTACAATAAAAAAAGAAAAACCTTCGAATATTTCATAAAATATCATTAAAAATGGTTAATTATTTAATAAATAGAACGTATCATAATATAGATTTCACAATACTAAGTTCAATACCACATGAGTTTTTTTGAAAAAAAAAAATTTTATTTATCATAATTATTTATATATTAGTTTTAAATAATTTTAATGAAAAAATAAAATTCTGTTAAAAATTATCATTTACAGTATCGCAAATTGTGCAGTGATTTACTCTATTATATTTCTTTTTGTATTTTTAAAATTTAAAACATTTTTTACGTAGTATAAAAGCTTTAAGACTATTAAAACGTATTCAAAGGAAAATATTAATTAAAATCCTGATATATTTGAATGTATTTATGATTTGAAAAACATTTTTTATAATGAAACGGAATAATCGATAAATGAGCAAAAGAAAAAAATCGTGTCGTTCAAAAAAGTTTCATTTAAAAAAGAACGCTGTCACTTGTCAACATTTCATGGTTTATTACACAGGTACTTTTATTCATAAAAGGTTTTTATTTAACATTTTGATATGTATGTCAATGCAGTTGTACAACAGTCGTCAGTAGGTTATCGTTTAGCTAGAAAATATTTTTCGTGTCTTTTACTTATACGGGAAACTTAAAATACTTAAATAAACTTACAACTCTCGATCTCGATGTGGCACAGCTGTCGGTCCATTGGGAAATATTGCAAGTTCATCGGACACGACGCAGTGATAGTCAAACTGAAAATAAAATTAACAATATTTAATTAAATGTAACACTTGTCCGACAAAACAATTTTACTAGTATTTAATAAAAGAACGTAAAAATGTTGTTTGAAAAAAACGTATAAATCTAATTTAAAAGACTTAGTCTAGTAATATGTAATATTTATAGGAAATTAAAATCAATTTTTTACGATTCTTTAAAATTATGAAATTAAAATGTTACCGAATACTCCTAGTAATGCTGCCTGAATGGTGTATTCTAATAAATTCATTGCTGGTGGTCGCTATATGAAAATAAGATTGTTTTTCGTTGACAAAAAAGGTATCAGGGACCCAAATGTTCTTGATAAATTCCGAACCAACTGACAAGGTTTCGACCCCAGGTCGTTTTGAAAACGCCAACCTAGGGTCCGTCCAAAACTGTCGGAAGTAAAAATCCAACGTGAAATCCTGTAAAACGACAAGCAAATAAATATAAAAGCACTAAATAATGTGGAGGTAGAAGCAGAGTAACAGAAACTTAACCGAGTGGTTCAAAACTCTTTACCAGCTATGTAGTTCAAAAGCATGACGTTTCTTTAAATAATTTTTTTTTTATATTATAAAAAAAAACACTGTCTAAAAAATCTAAATTAAATCAATTAATGATAATTTGTCGTCAAAACTTCACAAAAACTATTAATTCGTAATTATAAAGTATTCCATACATGTGAAAGACGGGCACTACCCTATGTATTATGGTAAGTTCGAGAAATAGAAGGATGTAAAACTGATCGTTTTTATTTTATTTTATCCTAAACTATGTTTAAGTATATTTTTTATTTATCTCTGAAAAAAAAAAAATGAAAAATTTATATTTCTTATTTTGTTAAAAATATTAAAATAGCCACATTTAGCACTTATCTTACAAAAAATTTGATTGATCAATAATGAATTTTGAACGAATACCCTCTGAGTGTTTTTATAGATAGACTGCGTATATACCTCGTGTGGGCGCAGGGCCTAATGGTGTACGTATCATCCGCCCGCATTTCATACTTATTCTATGTACTTCTTGTAATTTGATAAGTACTGTCCTAAAATTTTTGTGAGAAAAGTGCTAAAAAATGGCATTTTAAAATTTAAGAATAGATGGAAAATATTTTTTTTCCATAAATGATAAATAATAATATATGTGCTTTAAAAATAATCTAAAAAGGCAATAATTACATAAAAATAATTTCACACAAAATAATAATTCTATCAAACATTATAGGCGTTGTCAGTTAGGTCTGAGACAACCTCTGTGTATATAAGATAAATAAATATATTGTATTAAACGAGTGTATTGGAAAAAAATATAAATATTGTCACTTAAATCTGACTTTTGTATAGAAAAACGGAAAAATGTAGAAAAGATAATAATGTATTTAACATTATATTTAAGAAAATATAAGTTTAATTAAAGGATCATTGTGCATTATAAAAAATAATGATTTGATTTATTTGTCGATATACATGTTGTCAGTCATATCAGGTACAGGCACAGATATCCTGGTAAGAGTTTTGAACACACACTGTATATTAATGTATTTTTATAATATAATTAAGAAATATTTCTCTAAATAATTCTATACAAAGAATTATATTAATAATATTAAAAATACAATCATTTTAGTAAATATATTTCAAAAGCATGCATGTCTAATATTTTTGAAATATAATAGCTTTACAACACAACATGCTTTGTCGTGGTAAATTAATAACAGTATTTATTTATCACATCAATGTCCATGCATTAGGAAGTCATGCAATTTTTTTTATTTGTAAGATTATCTGTAGCTGAAAATATTAGCTTTCAGCAAAGTTTTTGTGTAATGTACAATACATTATAACTTTTCATAGTTTACTCGTGAGTATAATAGGTTTACATCAACACTAAACACATTTTTAAACATTTAAAAGAAAACTGAATAGTGTTCTTTAGTTATTTGTGTACCTCTCGTATGTTGTAAGCAATAACAAATTTTAGCAGTCTGATTATAATATTAAAATTCGAAGAATAACAAATATTTTTAATGTTTAAATAAGATATGTAATGGTTTAAATAATATATTATTATTCAGAGTATAAATCTGAATCGACTTCTAACAGTTTTTATATAACCAATAATTATACAAAATAAAACAAGTCAAAGCGAGTAAATTAAAAACAAACCTTTCGACATTTATACAAAGTTTGATGTGAATAATTCTCTTTGATCATTTTCAAGAACTTAAACCCAAACAACACAGTAGTCAAGTGTTTATATATATATATATAAAGATAATTAAATACCTTTTTGACTTATTAAAATTATTATTAATTTAATTACATTAAATGGACTAAAAAATAAATAAATATTAAAATTTATTGAAAACTATGAAAATTGGTTAAGTGATAAGAACGCTATAAGTTAAATGCTTATGTAAAACAAGTCTTATCATTTAAATCAATGGTTTTTACCAGAAAAACTCCAACTTAATAGGAATTTTAATGCTTAAAAATTAAATTTGCTTGTTGGCCTTCTATAGATATACGAAGTATACATTTATGTATAAATCTTTTCAAGTTGATGTATTTATTTCACTAGCATAAATTTTCTGTGTCATTGTAAACTTTTGAACAGTAAATAACTCTCGAGTAAAAAATGAAGAAAAAAATTCAAATCGCAACAAATAAAACTCATAAAATTGCTCATGTACAAATGGTCGTATGTTTATCTATGTGGTGTAATAATATATAATTTTATGATTATATAAAATTCAATATGAAATGCATTATTATTAGTAATAAACTTAGTCATTTTGACTACGTAACATATAATATTTTAGCCACATAAGTCTTACGAAAATAATTGAAATACATTGTATTTGTTTTATTCTAATAGCTGAACTAGGCACATAAAATAAAAATGATAGAGAAATTGTCAATTTTTATACTGTCAATTAAACTTTTTATAAAATGAAAATTGAAATTTTTATTCATAATCTAATTGATGAAAATGAAAAGTGATTGAAAGTCTTTTTTAGTATAAAAATTTCAAATGAGTTCTTTAAATAATTCTGAAAGCATAATTCATTATAATATTGATATAACATCGATTTTATATATCAAGTGAAGTAGAATACTATATCTGTATTTAAGTTCTGTAATTAGATATTAGTGTTTTCTTGATACAGACTATTATTACTAAATCTTTCGGTTGCAAATTACATTGAATGGCTTTGTATGTTCATACAAATCTATATGTATAATCGGATGCCTTTAATTAGTATAGAGGTATTCAGTAAGTAAGGAAACGGGTTTCTATTGTTCTCATTGTTTATAACAATTGACCTGTTTCCTTACTTACTGAATACTCTGTATACAATAGAGTGATCGGTTTATCATAAACCACTCGATTGCTCTCAAAGTAAAGGCAATATTAATTTTGATTTATTTTAATTGCATATATTTCTTGATTTATCAACTAATAATTACATTCTAGAATCATCCCTTATAATTTAAAGAGGTGACAACTTGACGTTTTGAAATGGTAGCATACATATTTATAACTAGCTTATAAAATAGGAAATAATTTAATTAATAAAATGACTGATCGATAACAACTTTTGAACCGGTACTTGGGAAGTTATTAACAATTTAAAGTAATGACTGGAGGTTAGGAGTGGGTGTTGCTATTTTTATCACTAGTCACTTCCCGGCCGTACTCTTCATCCTGTACTGGTCCAAAAGTTGTTATCGACCAGTCATTTTCTTAATTAGATTATTTCCTATTTTATAAGCTAGTTATAAATATGCATGTTACCATTTCAAAAAGTAAAGTCGGCAGCCCTTTAAATTATAAGGAATAATTCTAAAAAGTAATTGTTAGTTAACAAACCAAGAATTATATGCAACTAAAAGAAATCGAATTTTTTTTTCAATATTGTATTTATTTAGCTAGTAGTTGAGTGGTTTATAATAAACCGATCACCTATAGTATATTTCACTACATTTTTTTTGTAATACTAAGATAATCGTATACAAGGACATACAATAAACGTTAGCAATAAATGTGGTACAATAGTAAAAAAAAGATATTTATGGTAATAATTAAAATATTTGTTTTAATTAGTGTTTAACTTTTCTATAAAATCAAGAGTTATGAGTAGTATACATATAATGTATTGATGGAAAAGTATATTTTTCCATCACGAAATATATCTATTGATTTTTTAAATAGTATAGGATGACATTAGAGAGGTTGTAGGTTTTATGATGATTTCAATATTTTTTACAACATATTTAGCGATGCCTAGTTTAGCTAAAAGTCCTTTTAAATGTTTATATTTATATGAATCAAATTTTATATAATTGATGAAAGAGTTATATTTTTTAAAGGCGTGTTCCTTTTGATATAATAAAACAACATTATATGATGAGTTGAAGTATTAATTCATCAATTAATATCTATATTAATCATATTATACATTAGTATAGATTATTTCAATATAGAAAATTTCCAATATTTGAAAATTTATCGAATTTCCAATATCTCACGAGTATGAATTTGAAGGTAATGTTCGATAGAAGCGTTTTCGCATGCAAGGAACGTCATTTAGTTCCTTTCATTTTTTTGTAAAGTGATGAAATAAATAATATCACATTTATTAAGTATTTAATATACTATAATAATAGTAATAATAATAATAATTTGGCTCACTAAACAACTGTATAGTACCGTCATGTTTTGTGTACTTTGTTAAACATGGACTCAGAGACAAATAAGCGTATTAAAGCGTCTTCTCAAACGGACGTAATTCTTATATTTGTTTTTGAATTACACAACTAAAATGTGTAATAAAAAAAATAGTAAATAAAATAGAAAAAAATGTTCAATAAATTTAACATGAAAAACGTACATTTATAAATATGTATATATATTTTGTTTGTCAAATATACATTCGCAATAAAACACTCAGAAAAATCATATGTTTGATTCGTATTGTATGATTTTTTTAAATAGTTAAATAAAAGTTAAACAAATATACAAGAGAAAATAATTATTGTTATCATTTTATAGTGTACCATTAGTACTTCGGACACGGAGCTTATACTGAGAACATACATGGTGACTCCGACCTCTACTGGGGGACCTGTAACGATATATTTTAAAACGTCAATAGTGCAGATTAATCACAAATTAAAACTTAACTTTTCGAAGTTGACGTCATGTTAAATATTAGTTTTTAGTATTTGATTATAATGTCTCTCTGTTTAATACGAATTAGAATATTAAAAATAACTATTTATAATATTACAAAAGTGTCTATCCGTTGAATACTAAATGTCAAATAATCTTCCTTACACGCTTATGAGTTGTTTTTAGGATAATCTTATGATACAATTACCCATAAATTTATTTGAGCAAAAGTTGTTTTTTTAATGAAACTTGAAGTTTCAAATTATTCCGTATGGTCATAGTGAATTAAAGATGACATGCCGTTGGATACTTAATTAGAATTATTTATTAAAAAACTTAAATACTCATTACGAATGATATTTATGTGCGAATCATAATTATAAATGTTTATATAAAATATAAATTATAAATTATTTAGGATTTATATAATAATAAAATGTTTAACTTTGATTAAAATCTTCCTTTAAAAACAAGCTACCAGTTTTAATCAATAATCTAAAAAATAATGATTAATCTTATTAATAATTCTGGAAAAGGGTGTATCACATGCTACAACACATGTTTTCTATTTTTTTTTTCGCTTTGGTCGATTTTTTTTTGTTTTGACACTTCAAGGGATAAAGGTTAACACCCATAAAATATCTACTTGAAGGATGTTATCAGATTCAGACTTTTAATGACAGAAATACTATAATTCACCACCTTTAAAAAAATGGTTAGTCAAACTATTATTTGATGCTGTAATCTTGATAACAGTCAACAACTTTGCCACCTTAATTCTACAGATTTATTTGCAATTTACACAAAGATAAAACTGAATATTATTGTTCATTAAAGTGAAATAATTATTTCTCATAAATAACAGAAAAGTGTTTAAAAAAAGTCTAATGGTTTGTATTTTTTAGGGTAAAAACATAAAGAAACAAGTATGTTTTTTTAATTAAAGTTTTTTAAATTTTCCTGGACTATCGACCGGCCATTGGTTAAGATACCGTTTATGATATACCGAACCTTAATCTGGCCTTCGGTGATTCATAACACGTATGGCCAAATGGATTATTTAATAGACTGTGAGGTGCGTGCAAATGATTAGATGATACAGAATCTCTGTACTAACGTCGGGACGTTAGAAAATTAATTTAAGCCATTAATAAACTAAGCGCGTTTGCTGTCAAAGATAATATGGGCGCGTACGTAAAATTGAAACGAATATTAAAGACGCTTGGAGGGTAAAGTGAATTTTTAATAAAGTACAGTTGCCGTCGGTAAGTATAATATGTTTATAATATAAACGGTCTGAGACTAAATTTTAATATCACCCACACAATCCCTAGCGACGTTAACAAAAATTGAATCGTTTCCGGGAAAGTTATATTTCATGCAGTTTATTTCATATAGTTTTTTTTCTCGTATCTATTTTACCCGTTTGGGATGTTGTTTTTCCGGAAGTCTCTACGCACAATCCCTTTCCTTTCTAAGTCCCGTTCACAACAATGTCTGTCGCACCATTTTCGTATAACGCCATTTGTGACTTGAATTTAATTTGGACAATATGTACAGTAAATATTACATTCATACTTCTGTAGTACTATTTACATTATATGGCGGTCAATGAGTATGTTATTTTTTAACCGTCACTCTGGTCAGAAATATGTTAACATTTTTTTAAATAAAATTCAATAATTTGGTTAAAAATAAAAGGAAAAATCTTAATTTCATATCAATATTTTTTGTGAAATAAAATTAATAGTTACCTTAATAAAATTTATGATTAGTTGCACACTTTCAAATTTCAGTTTTATTATATATTTAAGATATTAATTTCTAAAAGTTTATCCCAAAAAATCCTTGAACTTTACGTTTGAAATTTCATGCTTAGGTGAAAGTAATAAAAAGAATATTTCGTGATATTAATCTAATCTGTAAACATTGATAAATCCAAAAAACTTTTGACAAAAAATCACTGTAAGTCAAGTTAAGACTCATAAAACGATGTGTCATTTAAAATATTTATTTTGAAAAATTCAGTATGTTGAAAAGCTTATTGTCGTTATGTTTCAATGGAAGTTAGACAGAAAATAACTTGATTCTAAAACTTGATGAACAGATACTGTCAAAAACATAAATTGTTTTCTAAGACATATCAAAAATAAATGAAATTATCAAGTGATTCCAATTATACATTTTATTGTATTTTAAATATCGAATTAGGGTTAGTCACAATTAAAAGAATATTTTCATTTTCATTTCGAAGTAGTATAATATCTTAGTATTTTAATTTATTTTATTTCTTATGGCTATACTTATAATTTGTATATTTTTCACTCGTATAAGATATAACACTAACAAAACAAGCAATAAATTACATTGAACACAACTAAGTATATTATACGTAATACATACATGCTAAATAAAGTAGCAACATGAGTTTTACATAAAAGGCTCGTATATTCTATGAATACCGAAATGTTATTTTTAATAATGCAAAGCAATTATACGAGTCCCGTTTGTTAGATATTTATGATCTTTTTTTATTTATTTAGCTAAAGTAAAATGTCTGTTGATAAACTGTACTGAATTTCTAATGTACTTTATTATCAATTGATTTTGAAGTATTTGTAAATCTAATTAGCTGAGTTATTTTGGTAATGCATGAAATTCATTGAATAATGTGATATAAAATTAGTTGTAAATATTTTATTATATGTGTAACCATTTTATACTCATTGTTTATTAATTATGTCACAACTATTGTAAAAAAAAATGTTGACTGCCATGACAATATCAGCTGAACAAAACATAAATGTTTTTTTAATAATATTCTTAGGATTTTTACATAATTTAAAATTTTTCAAAAAAAAAAAATAAATTGTAATTAAATTAATATTATTGTGAATGATTTTGCTAATTATCATTCATCATAATTTGTTAAAAATAAAAATGTATGATACGTTCGATTATTTTAAAATGCAAAAAGTATATTTATGTGTCACATTAAGATAAATTTGACATCATTAATATTAATAGAAATTTCTTAATCAATAAATTGAAACATCTCATTAATTTCTTTATATCAAAAATGTTATTCAAAATTTTTCAAAAAAGATCAAAATTAAACAAATTTAATGTCATAAATATTCTTAATCGCCTTTAACAAAATGTCAAAAATATTAAGTGTTAAAATTTTTTTTAATATATATTTTGATTAGTGAGAAAATGTTAAATATAAAATTTCAAAACTGAAATTTACTATACTAAATAGATTTTTCTCGTTGGAATTTAAAATTATGAAATTATTTTATAGTTTTTGTTGCATGTTATCATATTTTAACCTTTTGACCTACTGTACAACTAGACTGTCTAAACCACAAAATCTAATTTACAAATTAAATACACACATTGGTTTGGTAATATTGAATTTTTTTTGTTAAAAAAGAGACATTAAAGACAATTTATTAACAGGCGCCAAAAACAAACATTCTATGAGAGTTTACTGTAGTGAGTGTTACGATTGGATTCAAGCCAAAAGAGCTTTTACAGAGCGCACATAATATATAGATGGACGTTATTCTAATAAAATAAGCCGAAAATCAAATGAAATATTTTGGTGTATACACAATAGTAAATTTATTATTTTACGACAATATATTTAATGGATTTCAAATAGGTTTTAAATATAAGAAATTCTGTGACCTAAATCAAAATATTTATCATTACTATCTCCTTAGCCTTTATCCCAAGTATTTGAGTCCGGCACTACATTACTATAATTTGATAGGATTTTTCCACCAGTTGTTGACCTGGTGTGATATCATTATGGCTAGTAAGGGGGCAAGGTGTATGTCATTGTTAAATTTTTCGTATGGTCACCCATCCGGAAACAACAGCAAACATTTTAGCTGAACATCAGCGCTAAGACGGCGACTGAATGATGCGTCACGCCCCACTTAAATTAAAATATTTTAAAGAAAAATTTACATTTTATTTTTAATGACGTCACGCTCGTCTAAAAAATGAACTGATATTTCTTACGTTAGAATTCAACTTTTGGCGAAGTTTATACAGATTTCAATACTGTGGTGTAATCACGATTAAATAATTGCATCAGTAGTGTAAAAAGTATATGAGGGAATAAACGGACAGTTATTTCAATTTCAATAAAAGTTATTATTCTCTAATTTGTGGCATTTGATGTCTACTTATTGCAACAGTAAAGACTATTCTAAGTTGGTAAAATTTTATATGACATTTTTATTTAATTTAAAGTTTAAGAGTTTAAAATTAAGTTTTGAACTTTATATGCGAACAAAGATCAAAACTTTTTAATTTTAAATTCGGCGAAAGGAAGTAATATTAGTGTTTGTAGTTTTACTCATCTTTTGTCAAAACTTTGAAAAAAGTTTACATTTTTAGATTTCACAGCCTCGTTATCACAGACTTAATTAAGTGATTATCGGGCGGTATCCTGCTGATCTTGTCGGCTTATATCCTTTGTGTAATTTATTTTGTGTGCTTTTTGTAAAAAGTTGCGAAATAATTTGACAATGAAAAAATGAGCAGTTGATCAGTACATCAATTAGCGACTAATTTCTAGACATGGAACTTCTACTTTTACCTACTAATCTAAGTACACGTTGCGGCTATAAATATTTACTACGAAGCTTACTACTACATGACCTGTTGCTTTTAACGACACAACGCGCAGCATGTTCGAACTGTAGTTTGTTATGCTTGTCGTTCTGATGTTATCATGAATTCAAAATTAATAAGTTTGTCATTGCTGTATATTAAGACGTTACAGAACATCGGTATACAAGTGTGTTTACTGACATTGACTACAACGTGCTCTCAAAATTCCAACGACATTTATGTACGTTAAATAAGCATTTTGGAAAATACATATTAACATGGATAATTATTATATAATATGCAACAATGAGACTAGATGAGATATATGGTTATAATTATTTAATTTGGATGCAACTACCATTAGTACAGCTAAGATGATCATAACATAATATGTAACAATAATATATAAAGTGTAATAGGTTGTTTATAGAAATACAAAAATAAAAAAATCTAATAAATAATAAAAACATATTATAGGCTTCCCGATGTACAAAATATTTAACTCTATTAATTATAGTATTAATGTAATAAATATTATTATTGTATTGTTTGTACCATTTGCACTTCAGACAAAGAGCTGATGCTCAGCACGTACATGGTGACACCGACTTCTACTGGAGTACCTGAAATCCGGCACATGAAAATAAAATGATAAGAAAAAGACGATACTCTTTGCATTCAAGTGGCCTAATTATAAGTTTTTATATGTTTCTAGAAGCACGTCTTGTATTTTGTCACTAGTTCGTAGTAACTTAAACTGTAATTTTTGATAATTTTTAGGAAAATAAATATATTATAGGAGAGTTTTTTTATCTCTGCCAATTTTATTTTAAACACCAATGATATATTATTTTTTAAGTCTAATTTTAAACATTAAGTGTATGAATAATATTTTAAAATCAATATTTTTCATTATGTCCCGCCATGTATAAATTTATCAGTTGGGGTTATTAATGACAATTTTTTTCTCTACATTACACATTCAATAAAACTTGGGTTCTGCTTTAATATCATAAACCAATGATTTTGTTACCTTTCTAGTGAATTTAAAACTAATTTAATTATTACAATAATTAAGTGAATTTGTTGTAATAGGCTATTTTTGAGCTAGAGTGTCAAGAAAAATTTCGACACTCTAGCTAAATGACTATTTTTTTAAGGGGATATAGGTATCAGGAGGAGAAAAAATTATTATTTTAAATAATTTCTTTTGATAGTCCATTAATTTATTTTATACAACAAAAAATACAAAGTTATTATATTATGTATCAACTTTATTTGAAAAAAGTTAAAAAGAAAAAGTGTCTAATTCAAGACTTTTTTTTTATTTATAAAAAAAATATGTTTAATAAAAAAAAATCATTTGATAGCTGTATAATTCCATTGAAATCTGTTGAGTGATTTTTGAATTACAGTCGTTTACGATCATTAAAAAGAGGTCCAACAAATATGACCATAACATGATATTCAACAGTTAATATTATTTTTTTCAATAAAAATTGAAATATAATAAAATAATTTTTTATGATTTGCCGTATAAAATAAATTAAATTAATGTAAAAAAAAAAACGATTTATACTCTCATTTTTTCACTACTTAGAATACCCCTAACCTCTTTATTTAAATGCAACGGTTTTTTTTTTTAAACCATTTGTTTTTTGAATTGAGTGCGTACTGAAATCAAAATAACGCCAAAACATCGGCGAGTTAACAAAAACAAAAGTATTGAAGCGTTCCGACAATAATAATAATAATAATAAAAAAAAATAACAAATATATAATACATGACAGGACACCCCATTTATATGTATTGAAGTATCAGGAGTGTAAATTATAGTAATTAGTGTAAAAAGTGCCGTTCGGTGAACACGTGCGTTTCATTAATGGAGGCGAATTCTTCTGCGGATAAGCACAGCAAATTAAGGATAATAAAATAACATTTTCAACAAATAAAATCATCTAAAGCAGAAAAAAATCCCATTTAGCCATTGAACGAGTGACGTCTCCACTAAAGCGTATTGGAATATGAAATTAACATTGTACAGGGCTCCACAAGAAACATATCACTGGCCCTACGCACTGTAAAAAAAGCTCGGGGGATCGCTGAAATCGAAAACAGCGTCACGGCGCTACAGGTCAAATCGATTTCGGGAGAGATGATGGCCGAGTTTACACGCCCACATGCCGTTCTCATTCACTTGCCTCCTCCCAGCGTTCTTCATCGTCATGACTTGGGCCTCTCTCTCTCTCTCCGCTAACTCTGCGTTGCCGCTCGCCACACCGTCGTTCGTCTCCTTTATATCTCATATCGCTTAGTTTAACTCAGTAAACCCAATACCCTGCACTCTTTCGCCCGGTCTAGCCGTTGCAGCTTGTCCATACCAACTACCGTTTCTCTCGCCATCACGTATGAGGGACGGTGGTAACAGCAGCACTAAAGCAAAGCCGCCACCGTATTTATACCGACTGGGTCAATTCATTATATACGTCATACCGTCCCATTTGCCTGTACGGTTTTCCAACGAGCCAAGTGGTTAGAATGCGCCGAGTCATACACATACGTTTCTATGATAACAGGCGCTTACTGTGCACAATATTATTATTGAAAACGCTCAAACAAATTTTATCGGGTAATATTTTTTTTTTCTCGCGTGTCGTTGTTAGATATTCCAAGTTCTTTAGAGGACTAACACATGTAATGCGAATAAAATTATAAATGAATTGAAACCCATTCGCGATACAATAGCAAATGTCACTTTGAGTAAGTATTGGCAATAATAATGTGTGTGTATACAAAAAAATAACTCACCTCCGTAATTCGGTCTTACTCTTTTGTCGTAACTGCCACTGAATGAATCTAATATAGCTGAAATATTAACGTCGCCATACATACTGCTGCTGAAACAAAGTCGAAAAATGTGTCACTGATGTTTTATTGAAACATAAAGAATAACAAAGATTTACAGATAACACCAATGGGTCAGCTGCATGAAAGTTGTAATGATTTATGATTTTCTTAAAAAAACTAATACTTCCTAATAAGTAACAAATACTTTTTGATTTATTTTCAAAGACTGATATTATATTTAACGTTTAAATCTAACGAGCCGACGTGAGAGGGTAAAATATTGTACTGCTTTAGAAATGCCTGGAACTTAAACTTTTGAACATTATTTTTCTATTAATTTTGAGCATTTAAAATCACTAAAACTCCATTTATATACTCCATCTACTTAATGGTACAGTGGATAATAAAAAAGTTGTTTAAGCAAACCAGCCTTGTTCATTAGAAAAATTATTTTATAAAATTTAAATAAAAACTTATTTTTACATTGTTTATTTATCAATCGCATATTTTTTTTTTAATATTTTTTAAAATACTAATATTTTGAATTAAAATTTGAATTTCGTAAACTATATTGTTAAAGGATTTTATAGTTTAATATGACTTAACAGGATAGAATGTACAATGTGAATATAACGTTATTGATTTTGGAAGTCTACACGATGCGTTTAGGAAAGTTCAACTGAAATATAACTATGAGTGGATGTAATCACTGACCGAATCAGAGATTAAGTTTGCAAGGGAATTATTCTATTCGCAATCTTTTAGCCTAATTAGAGACCACTTAATAGTACATGTTTTAAATTCTATATTAACATGTTTCATCAACATGTTAGCTTGATTATTGATATAAAAACGGATGCTTATATATCACGATCTTATAAAACGTGAACATTCCCGGGGATATTGTGAACAAGAAAATATCAATTAAAATTCTCACGTTAGTCTTATAAGAAAATAAATCAATTTTGAATGATAAAATTATACTAGAAGGTGTGTCTATAACAACAATACTTGGCAACTGTTAATTTTCAAAAATTTAAATCAATCACATAATTAAAAATTATAATGCTTAAAAGATAGACGTTTATAAAACATTTTATAGCAATGGTTTTCACGGTTTCATCGAATTGTTTATTTTACTATAACAACAACTATGTAAGCTATAGAACAAACAAACATAAAACCCTATACGATATAAAGTTCTCTTTTAAAGCTTTTGATATAGCCATTTCTTTATGGTTTTCATAGTTTATGTTTATGCTGTATTGCATTGTCACCAGAACTAAAACTGGACTCAAAATTGTAACTTAGTGTGTAACGAGAAGTGGATAAAATTTTATCACTAAATTTAACAAAAGACAAAAAACATATCAAATTTAGAAAATTGATGACATTTTCTTATTTAGGAAGTGTAAAAAAGAAACACTGTAAGAAAATTTTAAAAACTACTACTGAAGATTATGAAAATTATTTATGTTTTACCCATTTTTAATATTTGTGAAAACTATATTTTTCTATATAACTCAATGTTGGTAAATTATGTAGTTTAAATGAGCAAAATCATTTAGTAATATTTGTATAATATAACCACAATAAACTTTGTTCTAAACCACTATTACCATGATTTTACTTTACAACTTAATTGTTCTTGTTGAATTCCAATCGGAAGTTCACAACATATTTTGTTGACCTACCTCAATACACAGTTGCTTTACTTTATTATTATAATTTGTGTAAATTAATAGACTTCTAAGAATTATTTCAATACATTTATACCACGTTATTGATAAATGTTGTGCATTAAAGTGTAGTTTTAATCGATTGTATACGACCAAATAATACAACAATACAGAAATGGTAATACAGAGGGAAAAAGTTATGCAATAATTTATCATAAAAAATACCATACTCTTTTTATTCACTATTGTCACTTTAAAATTTAAATAAACGTAATAGTTTAAAAGTAATTATGTACATTTATTTATAATGTAAATATATACTCAATTGCTTAATAAAAGTTCAATACTTTAATTTTCATGTTTGTTATAAATAAAAAATAATTCCTACACGCAATACTTTATACTTAGTTTATAAATTAATGTCAATAGCTAATTGTTGTAGTAAACTATTTTAAATTGGCAATAAAAAATTCCTATAATTAGAGAAAAAAATCATCTAGTTTTTATATAAAATACAAAGAATATGAATAATGAAAAACTTGTATTACTTTTTTATAATGTTCCCTTGTAGATTTTTGTCAAATTTAAGTACTTATGATAGAATGAATTTTTAGAAAACGAGTTATTTAGGAGTTATATCAAAAATTTATCAGATTAAAAATTAATTTTTATAAATAAAACTCTCCTTTATTTTTAAAATTATTTTAATTTTTCAATTATCGAAATAAATGGTCAGTCTTTTTCTACAAATTCTGTTTATAAATAAAAATAATAATGTCTTATGTAAAATTTAGTATCGAAAATCTTTTATGTAGACAGCCAGTCATTTTTATTACTGTACAGCATATGATTCTAAAATTGGCTTCCTCACTTCCGAGAGTTAGTCGGATATTAAACAGTTTTTGATTAGTCATATTAAAATGTGACTGCGATGACTTAATAATTAATTAAACGTAAAGATATAGTCGTGAATCACAATTAATTTGACTTTTATAGTGCAAGAAGACAACTTACAATTTCTACTGAGTGTGTGGGACGACTAAATTTCGCAGTGAACTCTATACTAGACAGTGTTTCCAAATTTATAAATTTTGTCTGGCTTTCTTCGAAGTCTTGATTTCGCATCGTCTAATTAATATTCTATAGAGTTCAAAATAGAATCCATTTGTACAATTATTAAACCAAGTTTTCATTTTAAGAGTTATTTATTAAAATTAAATATTCTTGCTGTGTATAATTGTATTACATACATAGACGTAAATTAAGGGGACCTTGAAGAGTCTTAGCACCTCCCAAATTTTAGACAAATTGCATATATGATCATATAAAAAAATATTAAGGAGGAGGACATTACACAAAATGAGCCCCATATATATAAATATATAGACACAATTTAGATGTGATTACACATCTAAGAGTTACAAAGTAACAAATTGATACATTTATAATATAAACGGTGTACACGGAGTAGTTTTTAGTTTCTTATATTTTTATTCATCAGTACTTATTCACTTTTTAATTTATCCTTTATACCTTATAAGGATTTCAATTTAATCTTATTAAATTGTAGCATACGTATTTAACCATCTCAGAAAATTAAAATAATGATTTAATTAAAAATGACTAGTCGATAACAAATTTTACCCATTATATCAGAAGTTATTAAAACATTAAAATATTGACTAAGGTAAGGCGTAAGTATGGAAATTATTATTAGATAATACTCCTCGTCCCGTATAGGTATAAAAAAGTTAATGTCTTCTGAATGACTAGTTTAAATGTTGTTATCGACTAGTCATTTTCTTAATTAGATCATTTTTTATAATTAATTTTAAATGTATATTATCATTTAAAAGAATAAAGTTGACACCTGTATAAAGGTATAAAAGATGAATAAAAAAAGTAATTAACAACTGATTGATCAAAAAATATATGACTTTAAAAGATATTAAAAATAATTTCTTATCATAATTATTATTTTAAGAGAAATTCAGGAACTAATGTTAAAAACATTATCTGATATATTTTTATTTTCATTGTCATAGTTAGTAATTTTCTAAAAACAATGGTTGAAGAAGTTCAATATAAATTTTCATGTCTTTTTTAATTTTTGCTAAATGAGTTTTAAATTTTATTGTTTTGGACCTTCTTTAATATTTTAACTCACTAATAAAAGTATGTATGTACTATATCTTTAAAATATACATATCAATAAATAAAAAAGACCATTCAAATTCATTGAACTGGTAAAATCGGGAACTTAAGAATAATTGATTTACTGTTCAATTAATAAAATGATTTGTTTATTTGTTTTTATAAATATAAACCTATGTCATATAGTATTATTAAGTTATTTTTTAATTTAAAAATAGCCAACGATTATTAATTTCAATTTGATCAGTTTACGTTTTGGTTGTAATTAAAAGCTAGGCGTCTAATTTTTATCTATTAAATTATTTCAATCGATCTTTTATTATTTTATACATTCATATAATAAATTATTTTTTTAAATGTCTTATTTTATCTTAAATAAATACACACATTTTTATAATTTTAATGCTTATGTGGTGTAAAGATGAAAATAATAAAAATAAATAATAAACAAACAATTTGAAACAAAATTGTTTAAGAAAATGATAATTTTTTATTTTCCTAAAATTTAACTTTATGGGCTAAAACCCCTTTATTAAAAAACAATTCATTTATTACAATTATATGAATAAAGTTTTTAAAAAAAAATGTCGAGTTTCATTTCCAAACTACAGAAAAGTTATTTCAATATATTTTTGTCACTGGCTAACAAATGACTAAGCTTATCTCATCATTCATTTGAAACACATATAACAACAATGAGAATAAATATGATATTTAAGTATAATACAAACCTTTAAGGTTTTTACTTTCAAAAGAAATAAAGAGAATTCGCAAAAGATTCCCTTGTTTTTGCTATAGTATTATCCTTTAGAAAGTTTTGAAAACAGATTCAATGTCGCTTTTGTGCGTCACTAACATTTTATCGTCTCAAACACTTAGTTATTGTACTACATCATAAGAAAAAAATAAAAACAAAGTTGAACTTCCAGTGCAAGCTATGAACAGGTGATTAAGTATTTTATTTTTCAATGGCCAATAATAATAATTTTTTTTTTTTGAGATTATTTTTATAAAAATTATATTTATCTATACGATAATATTTGATACTAACAATTTAAATAATTATGTAAGCCACAATTAAATTTAAAATATACTATATAAAACTAATGGTGTCTTCAATAAATATGTTAAAACGAATTAAAAGTTATTTACCATAAGTATACAACAGAAGTTATTCATTGTATAAAAGTGATTCTTTTTTCATGAACCACTTAATTAATTGAAAAATAAAAATATGAATGATAATTTTTTTATTAGTTTCTTTTAATTTCATGTTTTACTCGATTTATCAATGAATAAGTATTTTTATGTTCATTCCTTATACCCTATAAGGATGTCAACTATAGTTTTTTTTCAAATAGTAACATACATAATTAACTAGCTTAGTCAAAGTGGTGATCGACTAGTCATTTTTTGAATTATATTATTATCTAATAAGGTTGTTAACTTTATTTGTTTAAATGACAAAATAAATAATTAATTAGCTTATTTATTAGATAAAAGTTTAATTAAGAAAATGATTATTCGATAACTACTTTTACTAAGCTAGTTAATTATATATGTTGCTATTTGTAAAAAGTAAAGTTGTCACAGTTACAAAGTATAAGGAATGAACATGAAAAATTATTCACGATTGATAAATTAAGAAACACATAGGAATAAAAAAAAATTATAAATATTATTTCTATTTTTTATTAAGCGATACACAATTGTGTAATTATACAAAATAAATGTTAATAAACCTCAATATTTTAAATGTTCACCTAATGAATTATTTAAAATTTCATTAAAATAATAGTTCTTTCATTAACTTGTTAGCTGTTAGAGTTATATGAATCAAAATTTGATGTTGCGGTGTACTTTGAATTTCTTAACTATTTAATCATACATAGGCAACAACTGTTCAAAACTATGGTTTCCAAAACGACACTTAAGAGGCATAAGAGCTGTTATTATGTTATAATATTTGTAAAATATAAAAGTCGTTCGGCTGATCGGGATTTAAATCACCGATTAAAGAAAAGTTTAAAAGCTGTTGCTGTTAGTACTTCTACATCCCTTTCATTCGCAATGTCACTGTCGTTTCAAGTGCAGCAATGTGTGTACTCTTTAAATATTTCCATTCATAGAATATGTAGCACCCAATGAAGTGGCACAAAATGAAAGAGCGACGAAATCTTTGTTTCTGATTTTTAATAATCATTTCTTATTCTCAAGTCAGTAAAAAACATAAAGCTTATAGCAATTTTTGTTTTGATTGTGGCGAAATTTTTACTGCAATTGTTTCGACTCTCTTTATATTTCTAGTTCAACATAACTTCCAGGATGAATCACCATCAATGATATAACGAAATACACGATGAAAAAACAACAGAAAAGATTGCTCCTTGTGTTACAAAAAGTAACATTTATTAAAAAATTCAAATCACCTCATCAAAAATTTTGCTCTCTAAAAGCACATTTCTAGTTTTATGGCGATAATATATAGTTTCGTGCATTTAAGTGTATTCACTTAAATCTAAAACAAATAAGAATTACTATTATTCAATTTATTCAAAATTCACATTGCTGGATGCACTTCTTGATATTTTTAAATATTAGATATTGGAAAAAAACATTAAATAAATTTGTTTTGTCAGAAACGTGTCGTTATTAGCCAATCTATTATATCTCATGTACATAATGCATATAGTATATATTTTTTTACATTTTTTTATAATGATTAATCATATACTAAATTTCATTCAATTTAATCAAGCTTTTTAATAATAAATAAATCTTATCAAGTGTATAAAAATTATTTTTTTGCGTAATTTTTGATATTATGAGGATTAAAAAATTTTATGTTATATTAACGATGATGTCCTTAACATTTTAATGCACCGTCTAAAAAACGATAAGTTTACATGCTTTTTAAAAGCAACGAACCATTTAAAATGACAGCCATTAATATTAACATATAACTATATATAGGGTGTTTAATAAGAAAGGAAACGAGTTTCTATTGTTCTTATTGTTTTTAACAATTGATCCGTTTCCTTACTTTTTAAACACGCTGTATAAAGACTATCGAATGAACTAATATAATTATTAAACTGTACCAGAGTACTTTTATTATTCAAAATACTTTTCCCGGAAGAATTATTTTTTAAAAATTAAAATGCTAATCAAATTTTAAAATATTTATGTTTAATTATATAATTTTGGTCAATAGATATAAATGTAAGAATACTACATTTTTTTTCTATAATTTTAATTATACTAAAAGCTTATAGGAAATATATGTAACTAAAAGACACATTACATCCAAAGATGATAATATTACATAAATCTGTAGTTACAATCTGAAAATTGGGATATGTTTTCAATATTTATGCAAGTATTAGTAAAAATAAATAAAGTTATATAATTTTAAGTATAATTATACATTTTGAGATTAGTATCTATATATATATAAACTATTTAGTATCTAGTTTGCATATTGCGTTTTATTTAATTGATATTAAATAAAAATTTTGTCAAATTTTGGATAATATTAATTCAACAAAGTTCCATGTCTTTTTTTTTGTCCATTGATAGGTTAAATCTTATTTTTTTTAAGTGAACATTTATTATCATGACTAGGGTTCGAGATTTTATGCATTTTATATTAGTAGTTCCGAGTACACAAATGATATTCGTGTTAGTTTTTCTTAACGCTTAACAGAGTTTATTAATTAGAATTTTAATTTTGGGGGCGTTGAGGGGTTACTATTGCCTAGAACAAAAAGAATTCCTGCGGCGCTGTGTACATTTGTCATAATTTTCCACGGTATTTGGTATCTCAGAAGTGGTCAAACAAATTTTGTAAATGCATAAAGTCCCGAATGTAATCATGACAGTTGATTTGGATTGATATATACTCACGCTGCATTAGTACAAGGTGCTGGTGTCCAAAAAGCGACACAGGCTACCAACCAAGCGGATATTCGAGTTGCAGCGGCCACACGTCCTGCCATTGACGATGAGCTAGTTATCCTTTTAGGGCGGACTGTGACTGCCATATCTGCTCTTTCAGATTCTGGCGAAGGGCTATCGACCGGTTTCTGTTGCAGCCTTTGACACGCAACGCCCGGCTGGTGGTAACGGCGATTGCTGTGTCGTTGGCTGCTGTACGACCGGCTCATCCTCGTGGCAGCCGGGCGACAACAACAGAGATGAGGGCCACAGCTGTGGTCGTGACCGCATACGTTCCGTTCAAAAGATGCGTTTATACGATCCGAATGATTCCGCCGAAAAAACTACCGCAGAAGATACACGTAAACGTGAAACAATACTATAAAAAACGGGTCTTAAGAGAAAAAATGAAATTTCATACGACCTACTCAAAGCAGGTGGACGTCGGCACGATAGCGACACGAAACGGGCACCGGTAACATGTACCGCGTTTGTCCGTGCGCCGCGGCAATCCCGGAGCTTTCTCCGGGGTTGTTTGCGAATTCCGTGGCAGCTGGGCACAGGGGCGCCTACCACCGCTGGGGTATTCCGCTTGGCGCGCACACAGACACATACTCAAGCACACCCGCACGCAGAGGCTGCCGGCGGCCGCGCTCGTCGTATTGATTTGGCACACCCTCTCCTATTCTTTCCCTTCTTCTAGTCCAAACACCCCAGTAGTGTGTTTACGGCTACAGCTGCCGACACTCTCTCATCTCGGGTGCCCGTGGCAATTACCTTAGGTTTCTGATACAGAATTTCAGTCGGCAACGGCCGGCAGTGATGATGGTTGCGTTTCCACATCGTTATCTAGAATTATTATAATGTTTTAATGGATGAGTGAATTTTTTCCTCTTTCCTCTCTTTACACTTTCTGTTTCTATAACACGCCACCACTGTTCATACTATAGGAATTTATTATTAACACATTGAAGTGGAAATGTATCATCTATCCCGCTGTATATTAGCTGTCTGCGGGGCATGTCAGTTGAGACTTGCCTAAAAGATCAGATACACGTTATTGATACTATTGGTAAAATAAATGATGAAAACATATTTTCTCTGGTGGCATCCCTCGTATAATGAAAGAGGCGCAGTGCAACATCTCATCCTAGTGCATAATATGAGAAACCATTGGGATATGTATAAAATCACAGGCGTAAAAGGCTTAGTTTGGACGGTTGGGTTAACCAATCATGATCAACTAAAACGTCTTTTCTAGGTTCATAATTACTTTTTAAAACTAATAATATTCATGGAAATATATTTTATTACCTTTTTTTAAACACTAGTTTTTTACGCAGTTGGCACAAACGCAGAGATCATGGACGTGTGTGCTTAACAAATCTCTTTTAACATTTTTGCGATTCCTTATTCTTGTCATTTTTTATAGTGATCTAACAAAATTTTCCGACACTACAAATCACGCTATTCGACCGCGCTAAGAAGTAAAGCCGTAAAAATATCAGACTATTATTTTACTCTCAAGTACCCAAATAGTTTTATACTAGATTTGAACCACTAAAAAGGTTTAACGAGGTCATAACTCATTGGTATTAGGTTATATTGCATCAATTAGTATATTAAAATGCTACTGCTTATATTTAATTGAAATTTAAATTACTAATATTATTGTAATACAGTCAAGGCCACATTTAGTTATTACCAAATTACCGATCAAACTGAAAAAAATAGAATAAAGTAATATTTTTATCTGTCTAATAAATTGAATTGATTGTAAAAAGTAAAATACGTTTAAGTAGAATAAATTTCAAAAGAATCACTTGAAATTCAAATCTGTATCAAATTAAATAATTCAAATAAAACCTTTTTATGTGGCTTACCTAACTCAGTCGATAACGCGTCGCATTTTGGTGTGTAGCTACTGGAGTTTGATTCCATTGCGCTGGGATATGTAGATTTTCTCATCCTCTCTGGCACAAGTAATACTTTTAGGGAAGACGTTGAACACGATTAAATGATTAATGATCAATTTTGTTGGTAAATATGTAATATGTAGTATATGTACATTTAATATAAATGCATACTTACAATAATACAATTTAATCATCATAGATTGCAAACACAAAATAAACAAATTAAAAGCAGTATATAACAACTGTACAAACATTTTAATGGAAATTATTGGATTTTAGCCCAAATTTTAAGATTAATATACAAAGAACATTGAACTTATTTATTATTATATCTAGAACTATTTTGTACGAAATGAAATGGGCTATTAGTTTTAATAATACGAAGATATTTGTGAATAATGACAAATTGACAGTAAATATAAAAAACGATTAAGATAACTGAAACGTTGATCAAGTAATCTAAGATTGAAAAGGCTATAGTATCATTTTGTCGAGGAAAACAATTGAACAACAAGTAGAACAATGAAACCGGCGAAACGAGAACGAACTCGGAAATTGATTTGTGTCAACGAACTTAAAGAATCGTTGTAAAAGATATTGTTTGGAAAACTTTTACTGTCAATATTTTTAAATAATACGTTTCTAAATATAGAAAATAAAAAAAATTGCAACCAAATTTTATGTGCTATTAGTTGCTATTGATAAAATGCATTTTTTGATGATGACAACATATTTTCGACTCCAAGTTATGATTGTGGCCTTAAAATAAGTAAGGCTCTCGCATCATACAGATCCCCAGAGGTCGTTACTTCTGTCGCTGTAAAAATCTCAAATCGCCAACAAACACCGTCTTCTGACAGTAACATATATTGCATGTCTCAGAAATATACCTAACCCGATAATACACTAACGGCATGTATCGCGTGCTTCTGCGTCGACAACCATAAGGGAATTTAAAACGTCAAGCTTGTTATACGAGCCATTATACCTACATGAAATATCACACACTCGGTTTTATTTTCCCCAAAGTTATATTATGAAATATCATTCCGATCGGTTCGTATAATTTAATATTTTCCCAACAACGTCGTAACCGGACACTTTTTAGATGATAACACAAAATCCAACGTAACGTATTGGGTAACTATAGCAGCTGTAAAAATTGTGAAAAGTGTTAGAGGAAACAGACAAAGCAAGTTAAACGCACATTAAAATTCTACAAATTTTCCCACGTCATGATGTTTAGAAATTAGGAGTAGTACCTTAATTTGTTAATGTAAACAATATTCACCAAAGCTATTGGTAGTTTTTCGAGTTTACGAAAATATCTTTATCGGTAGTAAAATAATGTTTATACATTTTTTTAATAGCATTTCAGACGAATATAAATAATCAACAGTCGATAAAAATATTAATATAAATCGTATATTATCGTTATTGGAGATATTTGTTATTTACTGATTTTTCCATTTTATTTTTAGTATATATATTTTATTTCATAATAGGTAATTGAAGTAAGGTTTTGACTCGTGAAAAACATTTCAGTTTAAAAAAACGTTTGTTATACTTATATTATCAAAGATGAACGATACGCGGAAGTAAAAGAAAACGCTGTGAGAATATTCAATTCGATTTTTCATTATTATTTGTGTTAGACGGAAGAGCATAAAACTTATCTTGGAAATTTAACATCATGTTCTTCAATGATATATATATATATATATATTTTTTTTTAAAGTTGAAGAACTTTTGACTATTATTCGTTGAATTAGAGTACGCCCTCTAGGTGTTTCTTTCCAAGTCAATAAGGTTTATGTTATACTTCAACCATTTTAGACAGTAAATATGACTACTGCTTAAGGTTATAACAACGTTTAATAAATCAAGCATTTAGATCACGATAAATTGACTGTTGTGGTTTGTAGGTAATGAGTAACAAATAAAGAAAAGTTATTGTTTATAAAATCATCTTGCTTCAATTAACTACTGTAACTGGATGTAAATATTATAAGTGGCCTTTATGATTTACCACCAAAAAATAGTAAAAATTTATCATTTTTGGTTGACGAAAAAATATTTGCTATTGGTGTATTCATGTGTATGTCTGAAGTGTATACAGTTATTTTTGATGTTATAACTTCTTTCTTCTTCTTATTGCTGCAGACAAAAAATACCCGCACAGCGATATTTTTCGTTTGCAGCTAGAACGCCATAAATCAGTTCTTTTTCCCTTTGTCATCTATGATTTAATTCCCCTCAAATGGAGATAGTGAAAACCTAATCTTGGCGCTTGATTTTCATATTGTGCGTCTACAAACAAAATTTGAACGAAAAATATTGTAATTAGAAATAGATCAATCTATAGTTTGAGCTATACACAAATTTCTAAAAAAAATATTCTGCAATAGATCGAATTCAAAAAATTGAATAATATATATTTATGATAACTTATTTATAAATTACTTAAATGTTGAATTCCATTGTATAATTTTAAGGATATATAAAAAGGATAACCCTAAAACGCAAAATATAAAATATCGAGTTTTACATCAGANAATATATATTTATGATAACTTATTTATAAATTACTTAAATGTTGAATTCCATTGTATAATTTTAAGGATATATAAAAAGGATACCCTAAAACGCAAAATATAAAATATCGAGTTTTACATCAGATACCAGGTATACCTAAATCAGCAACTCTCATAATGATTTACATATTAGTAACGAAATTTAATATTCTAATTAGTCGTTAGTAGGATAAAAATAGAATTCCAAAGAGACTGGTTCAACCTGTCGCAGACGAAGTCCGATCTCTGTGTAATCATCAGTGTATATATATAATATTCATGTGGGATAAGGGTGTAAAAGTTTCTATATTATGTATTTTTCCTATGGGAATACAGATTTACCTGAAACTTAATATTTTAAGACTAGCTCATGGACATGAAAAACGAAATCCGAATAAAAACGACAAAGTCAATTAGTAATGCTGGCTGGATAAATATATCAGCTTTGCTCATGTATAGCACAATTTATTCTTTGAAGTAAACATGTATGTGATATGTTTTATAAACGAACATCATATGACACTACGTTATTTTGTGAATAAAAACACACACGATGTTATCTATATACATAGGAAACATCAAATAAAGTTGAATGTATATTCTGTCTTTTTTTAAATTGTCATACATTTTTTGTAGACTATTTTAACAACATAAGAAATTCATTTTCATTGACGATATTTATCAATAAAATATAATTAAAAAATAAACTTTAACGAGTAAGTAAACTATTTGTGAATAAATTAATTGCACATATTATTATGCAATTAAATGGGCTTGATATTAATTCAAGGAAGTTCATAGTTTTTTTAATCTGAAATACTTTTATTATTCTTAATCCAAAAATATTATTTTGTGTTTATTAAAAATTAAGAGAAGAAGCACATATTTTCTTTGACTATTCATTGAAATGTAGAAGAAAAATAAAAACTTAAAACAAAAAATACTTGACTCATTCTAGAGAAAACATTGTGTATTCTCTTTTAATACAGTACTGCAGTAATATTGTCTTTACATTAGTATAGAGGAGTAATAAATATTTAAACTAAAAACTTTCTTAT